TATTATATATATATATATTATATATATATATATATATATATATATATATATATATATATATATATATATATTACTAGTAACATCCTTATTTTATTTTCAATTAAGCAAAAGCAAAAACAGCATTATGACAATGTCCCAACATTCCAGCGTCTGAAGTCCTAGCAGTCCATTAATAGTTTTCATTATTCTACAACAGCGGAAGTACTTTGGACTAAACCACGCCCACTGACTCCTAATTGGCGAACTTGCAGACTGCGAGCACGAGCAGGAAACGCCCACTCCCGGATGTATCGCTTTCATTCATTACCACATAAGACTTTAAAATCACTTTTATAAAGAGTTTAAAGCGTTAAACAACACCAACCAGCGTCAAAATGACTTATGAAAAAAAAAAAACAGAAAAATAAATTGTAAATTGTGTAATCAAACCAGTTTCACAGTGAAGTGAATGAATACGCTTTGGGCTCTATAGTCACTTCAGTTAAGATTCGTTTTAAGGGCCTAAAGGTTCATGTAGTATCCTGTCGTAAGTATATATTTGGACACCAAAATGCTTTTTGAAAATTTAAATACCTAAACATTTAGAGATACCAAAATCTCATCCAGACATTCCGGTTATGCGATATGCGACCATAATAGTTTTTTTTTTTTTTTAATTTGCGAAAACTTTAAAAAGAAAACGAGCCTACTCTTTTCTCTTTTTTTTTTGATTGGCTTTAAATATGTTCTATCTGATTGGTGCCTAAACACCGGAAGTGCTTTCGTTCAGCTGCGCCCGCCGGTAAATGTAGTCCTTATACGTTATGCTACCTTCACGTGCTATTGAAACTACAGTAAATGCAAGTTTCCCACTAGCAAGTTGCACGAAGTCGTAATTACGACTGGGAAACTCGGAGATTATTTTGATCCCCGAGCTTCCGAGGTGGAAGAAGTCCTAAACTTTCAACATGGCGGAGGAGAGTCCAGTTTCTGTACTGAATGACAGGTTTTGTTCATTTTTCTAAATGCAGCTAATTGTTATCGCTTGCCGTTCTGGACTTATTCATTGATGTACTATATCAGTAACCATTCTATACATGTTGTACATTTTTACACCGTAAAAATAGCTTGTATTTGACTATTATCGTCAGCAAGCTAGCTAACTCGGTAATATGTGTTATGTTGTCAAAATAAAAGTAAAATAAATATGCATGGATGAACCTTTCATACATCTGTTTCATGTTCAACAGAGCACGTGAACACGACATACTCGTAATTCCCGCCGCAGAAGTAGGAAGTGGGAGAATTCCGACAGCGCGTGAAGGCAGCATTAGTCTCAGCGCGTGCAGTTTGACGTATGAGACTGCATGTGTGTACTCGCTGATGTGTTGGCACGAGAAAAGTGCACATCAGTTAATGATTAACGACTTCACATTTTAAACCTTGACACTCCTGCTCTGTTGGTGAAGCAGTCACGGTTTGTGTTTGCATGAGGCAGTTCAGCACTATGGCAGCCCTGCGAGCAGCCAAACAGGCGCTCAGGAAAGAGATAAAGAAGCGACTGGCTGCTCTGAGTGACGAGGAGAAACTTCGCCAGTCACACATCGTTTCACAGAAGGTAATGCAGCTGTGGACTAGTTTGCGGTTCAGGCTGTTTACACTGCTGGGTACTGCATACTGCCTTGAAGGCATATCTGCACTTTTGCACTGTAAATAAGGGCAACATGCATATACAATATCACACACACTGTGTGTGCTGTAACTATACTTTGAATAGCCTACATACTATATCCACTTATTATATTAATGGCATTTGACAGACACCCTTAGAGCGACTTACATTTGTTTTGTTTTTTGTACATGGGAATTAATACACACACACACACACACACACACACACACACACACACACACACACACACACACACACACACACACACACACACACACACACACACACACACACACACGAGGCTTAAGGGCCTTGCTTAGGACTCTAGCTGTGGCAGTGCTGGGATTTGAACTTACAACCTTCTGATTAGAAGTCCAACATCTTGTCCACTGAGCTACCACTGCCCCCTATGGGGATGGTGATAATTATAGACCAGTGATTCATCAAATGTGTAAAACTTTAAACTGCATCTCGAAACAACTCTGCTCCTTTGTAATGTTGTTGCCTCTCAGCTCCAGGTTGGACCCTGAGCTCGGGTTTCTCTGTGTGTGTGTGTGTGTGTGTGTGTAGTTTTGCATGTTCTCCTATATGGATTTCTTCGGTTTCTCCAGTTTCTTCCCAGCTCCCAAAAACATGCATGTTGTTAGATTGGCTATGTTTTGTCAAGCCATCAGTTCTCATTGAGGCAGTTCTGTGTTGTAAGTGTGTTCTTGCCTGTTTTTAGAATGCTTCCTGGTCAAGCTTTTCCTCACAGACACCCCATTATATGCTGTTGTTGTTACTCTTTCGACTGCTTCCGTTAGGGGTTGCCAGAGCAGATCACTGGTCCAGGTATATTTGATTTGGCACAGTTATTAGGCACACTTTTTACACTTCCTGACACAACCCTCCCCAATTTTATTCAGGCTTGGGATTGGCACTGAGAGCACACTGTTGCACGCAGCCCCAGTGGTTCCCTGG